GTCTCAAGAATTGAGCAAAGGTACTGCAAGTCCCATAATCCATGGTCCATCCCCGGCCAAACCACACCAGGACGTAAAGTGGGTCATGAGAGGTCTCTGTGCGAAGTTTGGTCCTGATCAGTCATTGGATAAGGTTAACAGCAGTCTCAGAATGTGAGTGGTGGTACTGCAAGTCCCATCATCCATGGTTCATACTCCTCCAAACTGCAGTAGGATGTGGAGTGGGTGATGGGGGCTCTGTGTGCCTATTTCAGTCTGTATTGGGAGTGTTCTGACCCAGTCCCCGGCCTTTCCTTTCCTCTCTTTGTCATCTCGGAATGTTGGATTTGAGGCTGGCCAATCAGAGACCATATGCAAATTTCCTTCTGTCATGCCCCGTTTCTGTCATGAACTCTTTTCTCCACCAGGGGCTCCTATTGAAGTGGCCAATCAGAGACCATATGCAAATAGCACCACAGTGGCAGCCAATCGGAAAGCTGCCACAAACACATCCGCCCTCCACACTTCCGCCCTCCGCACTTCCGCCCTCCGCACTTCCGCCCTCCACACTTCCGCCCTCCGCACTTCCGCCCTCCGCACTTCCGCCCTCCGCACTTCCGCCCTCCGCACTTCCGCCCTCCGCACTTCCGCCCTCCGCACTTCCGCCCTCCGCACTTCCGCCCTCCGCACTTCCGCCCTCCGCACTTCCGCCCTCCGCACTTCCGCCCTCCGCACTTCCGCCCTCCGCACTTCCGCCCTCCACACTTCCGCCCTCCGCACTTCCGCCCTCCGCACTTCCGCCCTCCGCACTTCCGCCCTCCACACTTCCGCCCTCCGCACTTCCGCCCTCCGCACTTCCGCCCTCCGCACTTCCGCCCTCCGCACTTCCGCCCTCCGCACTTCCGCCCTCCGCACTTCCGCCCTTCGCATACAAACACTCTTCTTTATTATATATATATAGATTATATAGATGTAATGTTTGTTTGTGGAATTAACATAACTCAAAAACCACTGGAACAATTGACACCAAATTTGGACAGAATACACCTAACAACACAACGAGTGACCATCACTCAAAAAAAAATGATATTGTCATTTGGGAGTTGTAGTTGCTGGGATTTATAGTTCAACCTACAATCAAAGAGCATTCTGAACTCCACTAACAATAGAATTGAACCAAACTTAGCACAGAGGACTTCCAAGAACAACAGAAAACACAAGAAGGGTTTGGTGGGCATTGACCTTGAGTTTGGGAGTTGTAGTTCACCTACATCCAGAGAGCACCGTGGACTGAAGCAATGATGGATCTGGACCAAACTAGTCACAAATGCATAAGAATTGGAGGAGAAACTCCTTCCTGAGCACACAGAAGAGCGGGCGACTTGGAAGGCACTGAATAGACTCCACAAGATGCAGAACCACAAAGTGGAGTCCATGACATGCGAGTCTGGAAAAGAGCAAACTACAGACCACTGACTCCAATGCAGCCTGAGCCCTGCCACATGCACAATGGAGGACCTTCTTATAGCAACATCAGAGGCACTTCACTTCACTTTATTTCTTAATTAGGGAGACAGAGGTGGAGATGCCCACCTTTCCTGAAGGTAGGCGCAAAAACAAAGGAGGGAGCGGAGGTGGGAGATACCTCCAGCCGGCGGGGCTCTCTCTCTCTCTCTCTCTCTCTCTCTCTTTCTCCGGAAAGGATCTCTCTGGATATTCTCTCTCCTATTTGCTGCTCCCAGAGGCGGCCCTAGGTAATTTTCAACGGTAAGCAAACAGTATTTTGGCGCCCCACACCAACCAATCATCGATATATATATTTTCTGTTCGTCGTGGGAGTTCTGTGTGCCATATTTGGTTCAATTCCATCATTGGTGGAGTTCAGAATGCTCTTTGATTGTAGGTGAACTATACATCCCAGTAACTACACTTGCCGCACTTGCTCCCTTGCCTGGCCCGCTTTGGGTCCGGAGGCGTGGCCGAAGACCCAGGCATGTGCACCAAAAGTCACCTCTTCTCCTGTCTTTCTCCTCAGCCATTGGGACCAAGAGAGAGAGAGAGAGAGAGAGAGAGGTGGAGATGCCCACCTTTCCTGAAGGTAGGCGCAAAAACAAAGGAGGGAGCGGAGGTGGGAGATACCTCCAGCCGGAGGGGCTCTCTCTCTCTCTCTTGGTCCCAATGGCTGTTTGATCAAGAAAAAATTTGGTTCTAAAATCGATTTGTAATTGGGGTGTTTTTTTGTTTCGATATTTAAAATAATTACAAAACTTTTCCAAAAAAAGTTTTGGTATTTACGAAATTTTGTAATATTAACGAATTTTTAGAAGATTTTTTGTATTTTTTAAGAATAATATTAAAATAATATTAAAAAATATTTTAAAATGGAAAATTAACCAAAAAATGGCCCAAATGTGGACCAAACACAGGCAGGAGACAGCAAATGAGAGCACACACCAACAGAAGAGTCTTTTCTTTTTTAGAATATTTTTTAAGAATAATATTAAAAAATAATATTAAATATTAAAAATAATATTAAAAATATTTTAAAATGGAAAATTAACCAGAAAATGGCCCAAATGTGGACCAAACACAGCCACGAGACAGCAAATGAGAGCACACACCAACAGAAGAGTCTTTTCTTTTTTAGAATATTTTTTAAGAATAATATTAAAATAATATTAAAAAATAATATTAAAATAATATTAAAAAATATTTTAAAATGGAAAATTAACCAAAAAATGGCCCAAATGTTGACCAAACACAGGCAGGAGACAGCAAATGAAGCAAGCAGCACTCACAGCAGCAAGGATGAATCCAATCCAGTTGCTAGCAGCCAAGCCAACCCAATGCAAACTCCCTCGCCCTCTGCAGCAATGAGCTACGGGCGCGGAGCCGCTTTGAAAGGGCTCGCCGGCCAATCAAAAACAAACAGCCACGGACCCACAGTGCACTGCTTGGGAGCGCCGGATTGGCTCCCAGGCACCAGCACCCCAGCAGCCTCCACCCCATTAACGAAACGAGCGGAAGCTCGTTAAATCTATGGGGGTTGCCGGTTCGATATTTTAAAACCCTTCCGGGTTTGGAAATGTGTTTTGATATCGCTTCGGAAATGCCAAAAATAACGAATTAATAACGAATTAACGAATTAACGAACGAAACCGCACAGGCCTAATACACACATACATGCGTATATATTGTGTGTAATTGAAATTTTATACATTTCTATTATGATATTAGAAATATTAACCCATCGATTATCTTCAGCCTTTTGAGTTTTAGAATACAGAATATATTATTGATATATTATATTCATATTATTTTTAGGGTCGATTTTTAATTTTTTTATATTATTTTTATTAGTATTTTCCACAATGTATATTACAGAGGGGAAGGGAAGGGTAGGACTTATTTAAATGACTATTAGTAATTTAATAAATTTTAGCACCTAACAGCGGAGCAGTTGCAGCAATTCCTAGGCAACACAGCCGGACGAGATCCCTTCCAGTCCGGGTTCCGTGTGGGGCACGGGACAGAGACTGTGCTGGTCTCCATCACGGACCGCCTTCGATGCCAGCTTGACCAGGGCAGGTCAGCGCTGCTTGTGTTATTGGATCCCACAGCAGCGTTGGACACAGTCGACCACAATCTTTTGACCCACCACCTTGCTGTTGCTGGAGTCAGGGGGAGAGCTTTGAACTGGCTCCCCTCCTTTCTTCACAACCGTGGACAGCGAGTGGAGAGGGGAGGCCTGGTCTCTGAGAGGTCCCCTCTCTCTCTCTTGTGGGGTTCCTCAGGGGGCCATTCTCTCCCCTCTCTTGTTTAACATCTCTATGCGACCACTTGCTCAGCTGGTTCGAGGTTTTGGGCTGGAGTGTGACCAGTACGCCGATGACACTCAGCTGGTGCTGAAGATGGAAGGCCGACTGGACTCTGTCCCCAATTGTTTCCCTCAGTGCCTCGAGGCCGTGACTGGATGCCAGCAGGTTGAGGGGATCCTATGGCTGGGTCGACCGGGCAGTGGGGACATCCAGCTGCCTACCCTGGATGGCGAGGCACTATGCCCGTCCTTGTTGGTCAAGAGCCTGGGAGTCCTTTTGGACCCTCTGCTGACGATGGAGGCCCAGGTCTCCGCCCTGAGCATAGCCGCCTTCTTTCTTTCACCTGCAGCAGGCTAGACAGCTGGCCCCCTCATTGTCCAGGGATGACCTAGCTACAGTGATCCAGGCCACGGTCATCTCAAGACTGGACTAGTGTAATGCCCTCTACATTGGCCTTCCTCTGTCGGTGATCCGGAAGCTCAAGTTGGTACAAAATGCAGCTGCTCGGCTTCTTGCGGGAATTCCGATGAGATGCCACATCACCCCAATCTTACCAATTGGGCCCCGGATCACTTTCAAAGGGATGGTACTCACCTTTAAGGCCTTGCATGGTCTGGGGCCGATGTACCTGAGGGACCGCCTCACCCCCTCCCAACCCCAGAGATCCCTCCATTCTGAGGACCAAGATCTATTGGAAGTCCCCAGTGTCAAGACCTTGCGTCTAACAGCAACCAGACGCAGAGCCTTCACAGCAGTGGCACCATCGCTCTGGAATACTCTGCCACCAGAAGTCTGTGCCTTGTGGGACTTATCAGCTTTCCGCAGGGCATGGAAGACATACCTGTTTCGACAGGCTTTTAATGTTTGATACTGCTTAAAATTGTGTTAAATTGCTTTTAAATTTTGTTAGATTTTAGCTATTCTTGTAAGCCGCTCCGAGCCCCAGGGGAGTGGCGGCATATAAGTTCAAATAATAAATAAATAAATAAATAAATCATTAAGAAAACGGAAGATAATGAGGAGGGCAAGTAAACAAAACATTTTACAACATTATGTTACATCCAAGTTTTCAGTCTCTGTTATCTTGACATCCTTTTGTTTAAACTACTAAAGTATTGGATCTTGTGATGTAGGAACGTTGCTTAAACCAAAGGGCATAACGTCTAACCTATATCCCCTCTCCCTTTGTCCCAATCCTTGCAGGCCTTGACGAAATCCAGTGCACTGTCCCCGTGGAGGACATCACTATCTTCCTCAGCGAATTGACGCAGGCGAGCTTCAGGGACTGCAAATTCAGTTTGTCGCTCACGGACCTGCTCATCATAATTTTCTCCGGTGTCGCCGTCTCCATCGCCGCCATCGTCTCCAGCTTCGTTTTGGCCCTGATTGTGAACTGCTTCCAAAAATGCGCTCCCAGCAAAGACGACGACGAAGAGGATGACGACGACGACTGAAGAAGGCCTCCTTGGTCTAAATCTTGGTTGGCTTGGCGGCCCAAATCAGAAAGGCAAGAAAAGGGCACAACGGCAAAGAAGAGTTCATTACAACTCATCTCAAAGAAGCTTTAAGGGCTGAATATCCCTTCCAAAGGTCACCAATATCTCCTGGTTACATCTCTTGGTCAAATCTCATGGTCAAACTGTCACAAAATCAAAGCTGCTATGGAGAGGAAAACCAAGATGTCCACTTGCATGACTGAGATCCACATTTTGATGTCTGCTTTCTAGTTTTTTAGTGCTTTTAAAAAAATCACATATTACTAACCGAAGAGTTCACTACCTTTTTACTTTGACAGTTGAAAAGAGTTCACTACCTTTTTGCTACAACAACTGGTTTTGGAAGAAAGATATGGGATGGTCAAGTCATGATGCACTTCTTTAGACCTTCCAAATGTTGATAAATATTGTTTTCTTTGGTTTTGAAAGAAAGATATTGGATGGCCAACACATAACTCACTTCTTTAGAATGTCCAAATGTTGATAAATATCAACATTTTTGGTTCTGGAAGAAAGATATGGGATGGTCAACCCATGATGTACTTAATCTTCCAGATGTTGATATATATATGGCCTTCTTCACTTTCAGAAGAAAGATATTGAATGATCAACTCATGACATAATTCTTTAGATCTTCCAGATGTTGATAAATATGGCCTACTTTGGTTTTGAAAGAAAGATATGGGATGGTCAACTTATGATGCACTTCCTTAGATCTTCCAGATGTTGATAAACATGGTCTACTTGGGTTTCAGAAGAACGATATGGGATGGTCAACCCATGATGTACTTCTTCAGATCTTCCAGATGTTGATAAATATCAACATCTTTGGTTCTGGAAGAAAGATATGGGATGGTCAACCCGTGACGCACTTCAATAGATCTTCCAGATATTGATATATATATGGCCTTCTTCACTTTCAGAAGAAAGATATTGAATGATCAACCCATGACACGCTTCTTTAGGTCTTCCAGATGTTGATAAATATGGCCTACTTTGGTTTTGGAAGAAAGATATGGGATGGTCAACCCATGAAGCACTTTTTTTAGCATTTCCAAATGTTGATAAACATGGTCTAATTTGGTTTTCAGAAGAAAGATATGGGATGGTCAAGCCATAACACCCTTCATTAAATCTTTCAGATATTGATAAATATGGCCTACTTCAGTTTCCGTAGAAAGATATGGGATGATCAACCCATGACACACTTCTCTAGCTCTTCCAGATGTTAATAAATATGGCCTATGTTGGTTTCAGAAGAATGATATGGGATAACGCACTTCTTTAGATCTTCCAAATGTTGATAAATATCAACATCTTTGGTTCTGGAAGAAATATATGGGATGTTCAACCCATGATAGACTTTTTAGATCTTCCAAATGTTGATAAATATGGCCTATTTTAGTTTTGAAAGAAAGATATGGGATGGTTAACCTATAACGCACGTTATGATCTTCCAGATATTGAAAAATATGGCCTGCTTTGAAAGATGGCCAACCTATGACACACTTCATTAAATCTTCCAAATGTTGATAAATATGGCCTACATTGGTTTCAGAAGAATGATATGGGATGGTCAACCCATGACGTACTTCTTTAGATCTTCCAAATCTTAATAAATATGGAGTTTTGAAGAAAGATATGGGATGGTCAACCCATGACGTACTTCTTTAGATCTTCCAGATGTTGATAAATATGGCGTACGTTGGTTTCAGAAGAATGATATGGGATGGTCAACCCATGGCGTACTTCTTTAGATCTTCCAGATATTGATAAATGTAGCCTACTTTGTTTTCAGAAGAAAGATATGGGATGGTCAATCCATGATGCACTTCTGTAGATGATCCAAATGTTGATAAATTTGGTTTCAGAAGAATGATATGGGATGGTCAACCCATGATGCACTTCATTAGATCTTCCAAATGTTGATAAAAATGGCTTACGTTGGTTTCAGAAGAATGATGTGGGATGGTCAACCCATGACGTACTTCTTCAGATCTTCCAGATGTTGATAAGTATGGAGTTTTGAAGAAAGATATGGCATGGTCAACCCATGATGAACTTCATTAGATCTTCCAAATGTTGATAAATATGGCCTACGTTGGTTGCAGAAGAATGATATGGGATGGTCAACCCATGACGTACTTCTTTAGATCTTCCAGATGTTGATAAATATGGCGTACGTTGGTTKCAGAAGAAKGATATGGGATGGTCAACCCATGATGCACTTCATTAGATCTTCCAAATGTTGATAAATATGGCCTACGTTGGTTTCAGAAGAATGATGTGGGACGGTCAACCCATGACGTACTTCTTCAGATCTTCCAGATGTTGATAAGTATGGAGTTTTGAAGAAAGATATGGCATGGTCAACCCATGATGAACTTCATTAGATCTTCCAAATGTTGATAAATATGGCCTACGTTGGTTGCAGAAGAATGATATGGGATGGTCAACCCATGACGTACTTCTTTAGATCTTCCAGATGTTGATAAATATGGCGTACGTTGGTTGCAGAAGAATGATATGGGATGGTCAACCCATGATGCACTTCATTAGATCTTCCAAATGTTGATAAATATGGCCTACGTTGGTTTCAGAAGAACGATATGGGATGGTCAACCCATGACACACTTCTTTAGATCTTCCAGATGTTGATAACTATGGTATTTAGAAGAAAGATATGGGATGGTCAACACATGATGCACTTCATTAGATCTTCCAAATGTTGATAAATATGGCCTACGTTGGTTTCAGAAGAATGATATGGGATGGTCAACCCATGACGTACTTCTTTAGATCTTCCTGATTTTGATAACTATGGAGTTTTGAAGAAAGATATGGGATGGTCAACCCATGATGCAGTTCTGTAGATGATCCAAATATTGATAAAGATGGCGTTCTTTGGTTCTGGAAGAAAGATATGGGATGGTCAACCCATGATGCACTTCATTAGATCTTCCAAATGTTGATAAATATGGCCTACGTTGGTTTCAGAAGAATGATATGGGACGGTCAACCCATGAAGCACTTCATTAGATCTTCCAAATGTTGATAAATATGGCCTACGTTGGTTTCAGAAGAACGATCTGGGATGGTCAACCCATGACGTACGTCATTAGATCTTCCAAATGTTGATAAATATGGCCTACGTTGGTTTCAGAAGAATGATATGGGATGGTCAACCCATGACGTACTTCTTTAGATCTTCCAGATGTTGATAACTATGGAGTTTTGAAGGAAGATATGGGATGGTCAACCCATGATGAACTTCTGTAGATGATCCAAATGTTGATGAAGATGGCGTTCTTTGGTTCTGGAAGAAAGGTATGGGATGGTCAACCCATGATGAACTTCATTAGATCTTCCAAATGTTGATAAATGTAGCCTACTAATCAAAAATTCGTGCCTTTTGAGGATCTCAAATACCAAAAGGGCTTCAACCGTTTCCAAGTTTTCCTCCCCAAAGACCACATCAGAACCACGGAGAGCACATCTACATAATGGAATTAACTCAGTTTGATACCCCTCGAACTGCCACGGCTTGTGGGAGCTGTAGTTTGTGTCCTTGGCCCGGGAAAGCTCCAAAGCTTGCCAAACTACAACTCCCGCCATGCCGTCCAAAGAAATGCATGTTTTGACTCATATTCAACGCTATTGTTTTGTTTATTCAGCCAAATAATATTATATTATGTAATTATTCTGTCTCCGGAAGAGAGATGGATGGGATTTGTAGTTCAGACGGACGTTTTGCACAATGTAGTGCCATGATCACAGAGTATAATAGTAATAATAATAATAAAAATAATAAAACATATATTTCTAATTATTTCGACAAAGCTGTTTGGTGTCATGTTTCAGAGTTTGCAGGATGTGAGAGTGCAGATACACCCAGAAGACCTTGTAAAACTACAACTCCCATGTTTCCATAACATGACCTTGTAAAACTACAACTCCCATGTTCCCATAGCATTAAGCCATAGTAGTGAATGGTGTCCAAGCCCACTCCTTGTATAATATAAGGTGTGCCCAGAGGAGGTGAAAGACCTAGTAAAACTACAACTCCCATATTTCCATAACATGACCTCGTAAAACTACAAGTCCCATGTTTCCAGAGCATTAAGCCATGGTAGTTAATGTTGTCAATATGAATTCAGTCTATAATATAAGATGCTCCTAAAGAAGGCAGAAGACCTTGTAAAACTGCAGCTCCCATATTTCCGTAACATGACCTTGTAAAACTACAACTCCCATATTTCCATAACATGACCTTGTAAAACTACAACTCCCATGTTTCCAGAGCATTGAGCCATGGTAGTTAATGGTATCAATGTGAATTCAGTCTATATTATAAGATACACCCAGGCAAGGCAAAAGACCTTGTGAAACTATGACTCCCATATTTTCATAACATGACCTAGTAAAAGTACAACTCCCATGTTTCCATAGCATTGAACCATGGTAGTTAATGGCATCAATGTGAATTCAGTCTATATTGTAAGATACACCCAGGGAAGGCAGAAGACCTTGTGAAACTATAACTCCCATATTTTTATAACATGACCTTGTAAAACTACAACTCCCATGTTTCTGGAGCATTAAGCCATGGTAGTTAATGGTGTCAATATGAATTCATTCTATAATATAAGATGCTCCTAGAGAAGGCAGAAGACCTTGTAAAACTACAACTCCCATATTTCCATAACTTGACCTTGTAAAACTACAACACCCATGTTTCCGGAGCATTAAGCAATGGTAGTTAATGGTGTCAATGTGAATTTAGACTATATTATAAGATACACCCAGAGAAGGCAAAAGACCTTGTGAAACTATAACTCCCATATTTTAATAACATGACCTTGTAAAACTACAATTCCCATATTTCCATAACATGAACTTGTAAAAGTACAACTCCCATGTTTCCGTAGCATTGAGCCATGGTAGTTAATGGTGTTGATGTGAATTCATTCTATAAGATACACCCAGAGAAGACGAAAGACCTTGTAAAACTACAACTCCCATAAATCCATAATATGTCCTTGTAAAACTACAGCTTCCACAACTCCGTAACATATCCTTGCAAAACTACAACTCCCATGTTTCCATAGCATTAAGCCATGGTAGTTAATGGTGTCAAAGTCCAATCATTCTATGGTATACTATAAGGCACACAAAGGCGGTGAAAGCCCTTGTAAAACTGCGACTCCCATAAATCCATAATATGTCCTTGTAAAACTACAGCTCCCATACCTCTGTAACTTGATCTGTAAAAATGCTGTTAAGAGTTTATTGGGATTCGATATCCACGGTTTGGATTTTGCTATGGAATCCCACTTATTGGGATTCGATATCCGCGGTTTGGATTTTGCTGTGGAATCCCCCTTATTGGGTTTCGATATCTACGGTTTGGATTTTGCTATGGAATCCCACTTATTGGGATTCCATATCCGCGGTTTGATTTTGCTATGGAATCCCACTTATTGGGATTCAATATCCGCGGTTTGGATTTTGCTATGGAATCCCATTTATTGGGATTTGATATCTGCTGTTTGGATTTTACTATGGAATCCCACTTATTGGGACTCAATATCCACGGTTTGGATTTTGCTATGGAATCCCACTTATTGGGATTCGATACCCACGGTTTGGATTTTGCTATGGAATCCCACTTATTGGGATTCTACATCCGCGGTTTGGATTTTGCTATGGAATCCCACTTATTGGGATTCGATATCCGCAGTTTGGATTTTGCTATATGCGGTTGCTTTAAATTTCGATCTCCTTATGAAGTTTCCAACCTTTGAAGACTCTGCTTCACTCTCCAAGGCAAACATTTCCAACTCCATAAGGTATTCCCTTAACAGGAGCAAAGCGCTGTCGATTCTGTGAGCAAATCATTGTTCAGGGAGCCGCTCTCCCTCCGCCTGATGCCAGGGCTCTGCCGGGTTTGTTCAAGGAGAAAGAGATGTATCCCGGGGGGCATGTATTTTACAGCTTGATGTAATAAAAACGGTATCTAGGTCACATACGCATGGTGCCTCGCCTTCCCTTCTTTTGCAAGCAGGTACCGCACTGTGCTCGTTCCAGGGCAAAGCGAAAGCACTTCGTCTGCTCGTTGGATGGAGACTTTGCGCATGTGGCCTTCGCATCACTTAATGTATCTTGAGGTATTCGAGAGAAAGGAAAGGACTGTTCATAAGGAGATAGAAATTGAGCAATTTAAAGCAAACTCAGATATATAGCAAAATCCAAACCGCGGATATCGAA